AAGCACAAACAGATCTATCCAACGGGAACCGTTCATTTTTCCGAGATAAAAAGTAACCCGTTTGACCGGTAATATAAGGTATCAACATGGCAAATTTTACTAAATTAGGTGCATACGTTGTTGTGTACTAAGCTGTATAAGTTACTATAGCTTTTTAACTATCTCACGGGAACTCTTTAATTTTCCGAGATGCAAAGTACCTAAGATGTTATCCGGGGATATAAGGTACCACCATGTAAAATTTCATTTAAATCGGTCCAATAGATTCGGAGATTATCCCGTACATACAGACAAACAGACAGAGAAACAAAAAAATTGAAAAAAAAACTGGATTTGTTCTATATCCCTTCTTGCCCTCCTGGCTCGATTTTTAGCATTTTTTTTCTATGTACAGATATTCGAACTCTACAGTTTTATTATAGTATAGATGTAAGACTTAGATTAACTTATAGGCCAATTTATATCAACGTGTAGAAGTAGCTAGTAGTTATATACTGTAACAAAACAAGTATTTTTATATATTGTCAGTACCAAACAATAGTGTACTCGTAAAATGTCTATATTCGGACGATATATAAAAAATATCTACGTCTAATACACGTTACATTGAAAAAGATCTCAAAAGAGGGTTTATGTATGAAACTGAATATGTCGTTATCCCAGACGCACCAATTTATCTCCAAAAATACAGGATTAAAATACGGGTTTCAGTGTTATAAAGCAAAATATACATATTGAAAGGTTTTTTACTTTCTTCATGTATTCTATTTCTCATCCAATTCAGTAAGATGGTTCAAATTTTAATTTAGATTGATTAGTGAATTAGTTGTTAAAATTTTGTTTTGTATTTAATTTGAAATATATATTATTAATGACTCACCCTCATGGAAGTCTGTCCAGTGGTTTTCTTGTGCTGCTTTCCCAGACGGACAGGCAGACAGACAAAAATTCTAGAAACTATAGATTCGGCCTCTGTTGTTATTTCAATAAGATTTTCCATAAAATATTTAATGAACAAATTCGACTCAGTTAGAATTTTATTGTATAATGTATGTAATATATATATATATATATATATATATATATATATATATATATATATATATATAGGAACGTGCGTTTGTTTATTTCTTCTTTCACGCATATACTTTGCAATAAACTGATGTTAAATAATTACGATAACATAGCTTATTATTTTATATCCATATATATTATCTCCATAGAATGTTCTAGTAAATTCCAGAAAGTCTTTAATAAATTAAAAAAAAAAACAATTTTCTAAAAGCAACGATTAATTTCTCATTATGAAGCTATGTATAAACCATATTGACCTTTGCCAATTATGTTAAAACATTCCTCCAATTTACATTTCAGATATCAAGCGCAATCGACTTGTAAACAAATTTTGCCGGCACCTTGCAAAGTAAACACAAACAAGTCTATTATTGTTATTACAAGTGAGGAAATAACTCTATAGAAAATCACGTTCTTTTGTTGCTTTGTGTAAGACTTTATTTAGCAGTTTTGCTCGATTAGAAACATTTTAAGCGATTACAAGTCTTATCTTTCTCAAGCAATGAGCTTGATGCGATATAAGCACGATTATAACTTTAAAAATTACAAATTTTTATACTAATTTTCATTCTCCAACGTGATGAATTTTCAACAATCCATTCTGTTTGCTTAATATTGTTACATATATAATCAATCGTTCGATTAGTGTTGCGTGTAGATAATATAGTGCACAAATTTAAATCTTTAGTTACAAACCAAGAGATCAGGGTGCTGTTCTGGTGGTTTACTGCTTCTAAGATTTTTCTGACAGAAAATCTTCCATTGGTGTTTTGTGAAGAAATATAAATGAAAATAATTTAGATTACTTGCAATAAAATGTGCCAATAATAAAAATTATTATACTAATTTTTTCAATTACACTGTTACTAACGTAAACTGAACGTAAAGCCGTCGCTCCTGCGTCTCTCTCACCGGTTGTGTCAAATTATCAATCTGGAGTATGAGAGTGACAGGAGTTGAGAGTGCACTTGTGCCTGCGCGCACAATTTATAATATCTCCTGCGCAGGTGATTAATAATATTGGACACCTTGGCCAAAATCTGCTAGGAGGGTATTATTATTACCTACTAAACAAAGCACGGGTATATGTAGCACGATGGGTATGCTGTCCTGAAGCAATAAAGCGTGTTTCATATTATCTAGTTTCTTATAAACTAAATTAAGTAAAGTAACTATTAATATAATTTTGTAGACCCAAACTGGAACTCAAACAACCTAATAAACTATAAATAGTAGTTTAATCTTCAGGTTTAATATAGCATTTTTAGATTAAATACACTTTAATAATGTTTAAAACATAATGAAATTATTAAAATTCCAAATCATATATTCATTTTCTACCCGACTCTGGTGAAGCCCAAAAGAGGGTTATGTGTTTGACCTGTAAGTATGTACCAAAATATATGCTATTTTTATACTAGCTGCAAGTCTTGCTATGTGTAAGAATTCGTATGTCTCCGACTGCATAATACTATATTACTTCGTCAACTTATTCTCATCTCTTTAGTTCATTTTTTACGCAGTCGGGTTTTTTTTATTGTTGTAATTTTTTTTAATAATAGGTATATTAGCATGTTACAAGTATGGTATAAAATAAAACAATGAAGGAAAAAGTATCAATTTATTTTCACACAGTTCTTACATAATACATGAGTTATATCTAATCTATACTTTATTTACAGTATGATGAAAAAACTATACTATAAGTTATTATTCTTTGGTTCACAAGATCACTTTAATAAAACAAAATTAAATATTAAAATCAATAAAGTTAAATCTAATACAGTCTTTGGCTTAAATCAATTTTTAATACTGCTATTTACATTTAAACTTTTATAAAATAACCATAAACGGGAAGTTAATGTAATAAAAAAACAATTTGCGCATTTAATAAATATTTATTTAAAATTATTTATTTAAATAAATATGATATAAAACCCTCAAAAAGCCGTCTTCAAAAAAACACTAAAAAGTAAAAAATAACTGAATGATAGTTTTCATTTACTATAGATACCTACCTAATCAGATATTTTTGAAGTCGGTGTGCTTTGATTTGTATTAGCTGGCAGCGACTGCGGAAATATATAATTAGATACCTATCTATAGTAAATGGAAACTACCAATTAGTTATTTATTACTTTTTAGTATTTTTTTTTTGAAGTTTTTGAAGGTTTTTTAGCATTTAAATTTAATTTTTTTACGTTTTTATTTTTCACGCAAATGCGCATGCGCACTAAAATTAGTGCAACAATGCATAGATATGCGACAGCAGCAATCGCGGTTGATTTGTTGGCATTTATTGATCAATCAGTTGTAACGTTTAGTAAAGATTTCTCAGAGATGAGATATTTTCCCGTAGTCGAAAGTCTATCTTCAAACCAAACATCAAAATATGTCCAGTGTTTATCTCATAATGCTTTCCCAGACAGACAGACGGACAGACAGACAAAAATTCTAAAAACTATAGATTCAGCCTCTGTATCGATAATAATGACAGTTTCAATAAGATTTTCCAAAAAATAATTAATGTACAGATTCGACTCAGAATTTTATGTATGGATCAACAATGTTTTATACCGAATTGCTTAAATCAAAAAATGTCAACATGTTTTTCATATTTGAACTTGTGAAAGAATGTGAATCGATAAGAATATTTTACCTTGGTTTATGGGAAACAAGGAAAACGTTTTAACATAAATACCTAAAAAATATGTACAAAATATATAATTTACGGAAAATGATATAATATGTAAATATTATATATATCTATATAATATCTTTTTTACTTTCCTTTGAATTTGTCACAAAATCTTTATATATATGTATGTATGTATATGATCATCAATAGTGCTATACTGAGAATAAATAAATAACGGTGAGGTTATTGATGTTAACAATGTAACAGTATCTAGTATTACTACTTCAAAGACATTATAATAATAAATCAGACGAATACATACATTTATTAATATAAAAATAAAATCCTACTTTTTTGAAGTGAAGCTTTATATAGATATAATTCGTAGAATTTAAATATAAATTGAATTCACCATTTCAATAATTCCATTGATGATGAACAATCCGTAAAGCTATGACTCTGACTGTACACTACGCGTCCATGACCGCGACCATAGTCTCCAGCGACCATAATTGTAGTCGCGGTTAACATTATGTACGACCATGAGACTATAAAGATTAGTAGCTGAGACCATGGTCTTATTTATGGTCAATTAATGCGTATAGAGTCATAAACTCCTTTTCTATTGTGTTAAAAATCTAAATAATCCTTGTTTCTTATATATTGTACTTTCATATATCCCCTTGCATTCCATTTAAATCTGAATGTACATTAAGTTTTCTCAAGAGTATAATTTAAAAGCAGATCTTATCCTAATATAATGTGCTTCTAGGAAATTGCTGTACGTTTGTATGCAAATGTTCCATTTAATGATAGTAAAAAATCTTCTAACTAGATATCTTAATTCATACAGAACATGGTAATATGTACAGTGTATACTTAATACAGGAGAGAAACTTTAAAACAAATAAATAGTACCTTATCGAAAATATACAAGTGATTTAGAAATTTTTTATGATTATAATTAAAAAATCTGTGTGATATGGACTAACTAATATAAATAAAATATTTTCAAATTTTTTTAAATTAGTCAATTTAAAAAAAAATACTTATTATTTTGGACAAATAAAGTTAATTGTGTGTTTTAATTAAACACCTAGATTAATATATCATAAATGAAATATATTAGCAAATGGTAAATATTAACGAAAGCCAATACTAATTAAGACCAAATCTAAACTTAAAAAATTATAAATATGCAAAAGTAGATCGAAACCAGTAATTCCATACAATAGGTATAAGGCTGATCTTACCACTATCTTGTTTAAAATTTTACTACTAAGCGCTACAATATTTTCGCTAATATAAATAGCGTTAGTAAACTTAAATTCTTCAAGCTTTTTCCACCCGAAGTCTTATAGTACTTTACCTCATCCTGCGTGGGAGGAGAATAAGATGCTTCATAACTAAGTTTATTCGCGCAAGGAAGCATATCAACGGGTATATCCATTAACTTTCTTCGATAATCTTTTTTAGTAATGTCTAATACATTATCTTGGTCTTGCATAGTATCATCATACGCTGCATCATCATCAAAATTATCATCTTCTTCGTCTATTTTATCAAATGGTTGTTTGTTCATTTTAGTGTCAGCATTTTGAATTTTTACATTACCTAAGTTGGTTTTTAATTTGGTGTCCATGATGCAATTGAGTCGCTCTAGAGATGCTTTGACGCGTCTACTTCGTGTCTCGTTACGTAATTTATGCAACCACGATAAACGGCAGTCGCATGTTAGCTTGTTACCTGTTAAAGATATATTTTATTATATAATTATCATCTTTTTGACGAAAAAAATTTATGTTCTATAGAGTAAAGTATAACAGTTATAAGATATTGATGCTTTGAATTTGCTTAAAATACAGGTTTAGTGTCATTATATTTTTAATAATGTAAAATCGTGAATATATTATGCACATATATTTGATTAAAATATCTTAAAGAAGCTATGAAATATTTAAATTAAATACATATTCTTGTGTAAAATAACTGTAAGAGAGCAAGCATATAATAAAACATATGATTATTCCAAAAAAAAACTATTCTCCAAAAGAACATAACAAAAAAAAATTTATTTAAAATATTTTAATACTTTTTGTTAAACATTAAATAAACAAAATATGTTCTAACACAGTAATAAATTCCAAAAAATTTAAATACAATCACGTAAAATCTAATAAAAGATCTACGTTGTAAAGAGTTGACCAAGAAATAAATTAAAACCATAGTATTATTAAATCATACACAGCGCGAGTAACGGACAATTTTGCGGCAAATATAATATCTCTAGACCGCGAAATATACTCGCCATTAAAATGTCACAACGAAACAAACAACTATATATCAGACCCTGATTCATAGACTGTAACTACGAATGTATTAAGCTGATACAGTTAACTCCAGCCATACTAAAAAGACACGAAATTGTATTAAGCAATTATGATCTACAGTAAATTGAGTTAAAGATCATATTCGTTTGTACAGACCGAAAATGTTGACCCTTTAGGGGTGCACTAAGTTGCTTTCATGCACCCTTTCATGGTGTAAATTTAACTTGCGTGTGTTAAAGCGCATGGATTTACACCATATGAATTTTAAGGTTATATTTTAGTTCAGACTGATGTATTTGATATAATATGTAGCTTCCATGTTTTAGCCGAAATAAATGTTGTACGTAGAATAGGTACGTATATTTCATTAAACAGTTCTAAGCACCATATTATCATTTTAAAATATATTAAAATAGCTAATGGCTCATTCTCGCTCCGCTCGGGTTCGTCCCTAGTTACGTTTTAACGTTTAGTATAGATTTCTCAGAGATCGGCAGTAAAAAGTATCCTGTATGTTGACCCGGATAAACGACTACCATCATACCAAATTTCATCAAAATCTGTCCTGTGGTTTTCTCGTGATGCATTCCCAGACAAACAGACAGATAAAAATTATAAAAACTATAAATTCAGCCTCTGTATCGATAATAATAACTATTTCAAAAAGATTTTCCAAAAAAATGTTTAATATACAGATTCAACTCAAAACTTTATTATATTATGTTTATATGAATTGAGTTTATAATATTTGTTTAAAATATCATTTCTGAGAAATCTATACTAAGCGTTAAAACGTAAAATATAAAATTCTTAAGATTTATTTATTTAATTTCTAGGGAATGTCAAATCTGTTATGAATAGAAGACGTAGAAAATGCTTAGCCATTCGTTATCCTTAAAATCGTCTTTTCTTTACCAAACAGCGGCATACTGCTCACTTTCTCTTAAAATATCTCGTAGGCTAAAAACCTTACTTTGCCCCTATTTGACTATTCATCTAGTGACTAGACTAGTGATGTTACTAATTTTATTTTAACAACAAGTGTTTTTTGTGTATTTGTTCCGCCCCTAAAGGACATAGCGTGATGCTACGAGTAGATAGTGCACCTTCCTCAGTGAATAGGCTATAAAATAAAAATTTAAAATGTGTGAGTGTACTTATGTACGAACGTAAGAAGTTATACCTACTTCTTTGGCGTAACAGGAGAAAAATAGCTGAAGATTTCATTCCGTAGGTCACAACTCTCTGTTTGTAAAAGGAATGCAGCTAACTTCATCATGTTACTTTCAGCTAATTTCGTCATGTGCATGAAAAAAGTTTACCCTCATAATTTTTCAAAACGTGCCAAAAGAGGTATAAGTGCCAAAAGAGGTATATACTTCAAAAAAATGCGTTTTCAAATATTTTATATATCTTTGAGACGTCTAAATCCTTCTTCGTCTTTCCCGTGACCATTGCTGTTAAGCATACGAAACGTTGCGAAACAAAATCAAAATAAACGCCCAAAAAGTCCGAAAAGATAATTTCATTTAAAATGTAAAATATTCGCGTAATAAGAATAAATAATATAAGAAATAATAATAATGTAAAAAATGAAATAATAAATATAAGAAAGTATTATTAAAAATAAACAAATAAATAAACTTTTCAGCTTAACATATTAATTTAGATATAAAGGAACAGTTTTATAGATACAGTCTTTAGCACAGGAATTCAAGCCCGTACCTCCCGATGTAATATATGTGATGCAGTCATCTATCTATATTATATATTATAAAAATCGATGTGTGTGTATATATGTTTTCTAAGGACTCTAAAACAGGTGGAGTGATTATGATGAAATTTTCAGGCAATTTTCACATTCGCCCAGAGGATCATCCTGTTAAGTTTGGTAGCGATCGGTAGTTTGAAGGCGGGCGAAGCTGCGGTTCTGCTAGTAGCGTATATAACTTAAAATCATTTTAAATTCAAATCAATAGATGCTTAAAACTAAATAACGATTACGTCTTCCACGCCTGGTGTCTCCAACAACATGTGATGTTCTCAAATTTTCACAGTGAATAGTTATATTCTCGAGAACAATTAACAAATATGGAACTTCAGTATGAGTTAATTAAGTTTTATTGCTACGCAGTAAATTTGAATCGTCTGGAGGACGCCACTATTTGTAGCCAAATCTTTTGAAAATTAAGTTACGTGGAATGATAGACTTTTAATATGTAATTAATATGCTAATTACTTATTTTCTTTTAAACTCCTTTTAAATATATACCAATACAAAGTTAAGTAAATTAAAATCTATACTAATATTATAAATAGGTAAAGTTTGTGAGTTTGTGACATTGTAGGAGTCTCTGGATCTACTAAATCGATTTAGATTAAATTTGGTAAGAAGATTTGAGATCCTGTAAATGACATAGGATACTATTTATCCGAAAATCATTCCTTAAGGAGGTGAAAATGGGGAGGAAATTTTGTATGGGGAATCAAGGTATTCTAATATATAAATATCTCGTATCACGATGTTTGTAGTCTCACTCCTCCGAAACAGCTCATCTGATTTTAATTAAAAAAAATTGTATATTTGGTAGGTATAGTATGAGAATAAGTCGTATTTTTCACCCTCCTACCCCCCTTGTGTTATGGATACCAGATAGATGATACACTATACATATATAACTTTAAATACATACTCGTACATATTATAAATATAAACGCCCATGACTGTAATACAAACATTCGTGCTCATCACACAAATGAATGCCCCAGCGGGACTCGAACCCGCGACCGCTGGCACAGCAAGTCAGATCACTACAAACTAAGCCAAACGTGTCGTCACATTATATCCTTTCAAAATTGAAACTTATAATAAAAATGATATTACAAAATTTATTTTATAAGCAACTAAAGTAATAATAAAACACAATAATTACAGAACATGTATCAACTATCTCTTTTATGTACGCTTCATTCACCTAGACGCAATATCATATTCATATCCTTCAATAGCCAGTGTTACGTTCGATGAAATATTTCAATATAAAGTACCTAATATAGACGAGCTTCTATACATGCTATATTCATAAATCATATCTGATACCGTTAATTGATCCCTCATTGAGTTTTACATGAGATCAGTTCACGTTGAAAAACCACAACTGCTGTTTTGTGGCCTTCAGCGGCTTACTTTATTTAATTTTGGTTATACAATTACATAAAAGATTTTTGTTTAAGTGCATTTTTTTTAATTATAATTAAATTTAATTCATTATAATACATAATTAATTAATTAATATTTAATATCGTATTTCTTTGAATGGGATTCAGGGTCAGTCAGATCAGTCAGTGAGACATTTACCGAATAAAAGTTGTAGATTTCATATAAATATACTGTTTACATGCGGGTTCTATTAGCATTGAAGTTATAAAATATATTATGTACAATTTACATAAGCAACATTACAATTTTTTTATCGTATGTTTGAAAATTAGTATTGTATAAATAGGAAAAATCTTATTGAAAAAGTATATCGTGATTAAATTTTCATATATACGTAGAAATGTAAATTGTATATGTTCTATTATCTCATGACTGCCATATATGTACATATACACGTATATGTACATATATACGTATATATGTATGTACATGTGTCTGATTGTACAATATTATGTATAGGTACATAATATGAAATTTAATTTAATAAATCAATAATTTAAATAATATACAACTCACCATCTAAAGAGACGAACGCGTAATTGGATTTCATGTTTTCTATAACACCTCTCAACATTTCTTGTTTTAAAGTTTCCAGTTTGTTGTTTCTTAAATCCAGAAAATTCAACTTTTGTATATCATCGAAAACTCCGTCATCTAACATTGCCAAATTATTATCGACTAAAGAAAGTTTCTTCAACTGAGTCAATCCGCCAAACCCTCGTTCTGATATAAATTCTATTTCGTTGCCATCCAAATAAAGTTCTTGTAGGCTCCAAAGTTCTGCAAAGGCCAGATCGCCTATCATCATTAATTTATTGTTTCTCATATCTAGCGTAATCAGATTTGACAGGCCTTGGAAATTCTCTCTTATGACCACCGTCAACAAATTACTATTCAGGTCCAATTTGATTAAATTATTCAAATGCTTAAAACAACCGTCGTGTAAGACACTCAGTGTATTTTTTGATATATGCAATCTTTGCAGGTTGGGTAGATCGTAGAATACATCTCTTTGCAGCTCAGTTAATTGATTTTCAGCGAGACTTATATTAGCTAGCATGATTAAATGGGCGAATGACATTTTCTCCAATTTGCCAATTTTATTTTTTGGCAGCGATATCTCTCTCAAGGTTGTGGAATTTGTAAATGCGAAGGACGGTATGCTAAATATGTTAGCGTACTGTATATTCAGGTATTGTAATCTATCTAGTCTAACAATAACTTTCGCTGGAATGAATGTTAGCCCACCGTCCGCTCGTACATTAAAAGTGAGTCTTTCTATTTTCGGCTGTGAATAAAAGTTTGACCAGAAAGGGTCATCTTCTGCAATGCCCCCGTTGAAAACCCAGCAGTCGGCTTTTGTCGCTGTTTTTATTTTTATACTTTCACAGTAGCAATGTACTTTAGAGGAGCGATCCTGTATATCGCAGATGTTAACATAATGGGAGTAGGGAGATTTTTCGGATTTCCATCTCCGTTTATCATTTTGACGACTCTCTGTCAAGTTTATCTCGACAGTTGCGAAGGCGATCATTAAAATTAGATACTTCAAGTCCATATTTACTGTCTCTTACATCGAAATTCTAGAACAAAGAAAAGAAAATTTAAGTATCATTAGCTTAATCAATATTATTAGTCAAATAAAAAGGTTTTATAGAATATATTACAATATTAAATGTTCGCAAATATTATTTCGAAGCTGTCTTTTCGTTTTTATCTAAAATCTTTCTAAGTACCAATCATGTTTTTATAATAACTAAATATATTGGCGAATATTTAACTATCCCAAAGATAATTTCATACAAATCTGCTGTAGTACGAAAACATCATCCACCGATGTTCTTTGTGTATATACATTTTCATAAAACGTTGCTACACATAATAAATAATTCATGCCAATTTTGTCCTTTGACGATTGTCAACTGACAACATTAAAATTTTAAGCAAAATAAATAGCACAATTACACGTTTATTCATTTAATATTGATAATTTCATTTCGGTGATTTTAATTCATTCGAATTAATTTTAAGTGTAGATAGATGCAGGTTATGTAATATATTATCTCTCATTATGAACGTAGCTCCCATGATATAAGCATACTCGTATTAAATAGGATATACATTGTCATCTATGCTGTCTACACGCAGACGTACGTAAGTATACTCGTATTTTATAATATAACTTGATTCCCTATACAAACTTCCATCCCCATTTTCGCCCTCTTAAGGAATGATTTCCGGGATAAAAAGTATCCTATGTCCTTCCCAGAGTCTCAAACCTCTATCTTTTTACCAAATTTCATTTAAATCAATTTAGTAGATTCAGAGATTACCCCCTACAACGTCACGAAATCACAAATTCATAATTCACAAACTTTACCTCTCTATAATATTAGTATAGATATAATAACTTCATACGAGAACTAGAAAGAGAAAAAAATATTTCATTAAACTGACTGACATTTACATTTATTGACTGGTCTAAGATAAAGTACCTACTAGCTATTTTCATATTCAACACGTTTATCACTTCTACGGTTTCTTTAAGTATTTATGTACAAATTATTTTTTTGAGGTAAATTAATAAATCTTCGAATCTGCATAAACTTCAAAAACATGAATTAGATTAATATTAAAGGTATTTTGTGATATACAATTTATAGATTCTGATTAAATAATAAGTTATTTTAAATTTTTATTTTATTATATTGTATTATTTTTTTCCAAATTATAATATTTATGTGAATATTTAACAAATTATATACCAAATGTGATATTAAAATGTAAGCTATGATAACCTCACAAAGATGAGTAAAGTAAATAACCACAACAACAAAGCCATAAAACGTTGAATGTACGACAATGTGTGTCCCCGTAACATTATACGAGGAAGTTTTCAAATTTCACCTTATTTTATGACGGAAGAACTGATCGCTGAATTTTTAGTGCGACTTAAAATATTCAAAATTTCAAAAGTTATGTACAAGTATGACGGCTCCATTTTACTTGAAAATTCGCATATACTCCAAGTAAAAATGTTGTTAAAATAATTTATATACTTCCTCCACTTCTTGAATTCTGGTATCATTCATGGGGGTTTCATCAAGCTTATAGCAACTTATACTTACGGATCCGAAAAGATAGTTTAATTTAAATGTTTGAACATAAAACATTGCCATGTCGCCTATCGACATAACGGCCATCGGACAATAACAACGGTACCATGGCAACATGGCAATGTATTCGATCTCATTTTCTCGTCGGTTTAATCCTATATATTTATATGGTTGTCTCTTTTTATCCTACAAATATAATTATGCCTAATATGCCTTATTTAATTATTGATGTGTTTTAATTTAATTGCGTAATTATAACAAAGAAGTTTCACTTCAACCGCGCGTAAAGGTTAGACGTACATTTTTTTCTTATAGTACAGGTACTATTACATTGTAAGGCAGCGAAGGCTTCAGTTAGAGTTTAAAAAAGCAAAGTTTTCATATTCATGTGTCTAATTTTAGAGTGAATACAGGAAGAACAAACGAATCGGTATCCCCATACCAAAGTATGATTAAATATTTATAATAGCATAAGTATTATTTAATGCAAAATTGGCCATCGTAACTCATTAAGTAAACAAGGGGTGACCCCCGCGCAAGAGCATTTCGACTAAGATTGGTCAATGGCGACCAGCAAAAATACAAATATGTCGCTTTTATTGGACTATCAATTATTTCTATTTAATATTAAACCCCCTCATTAGTGATGCTCCAATTAATTATAAAGAAAAGCTATTAGCGATATATTAATCTTTCCAACTGAATCGAATGGGAGAATAATTTCACAAACTTTGTCGTAGGTAGTATGTCGTTAACAGCAAATATTTAACTTTGAATCAGTTGATCCTGCCATTACAGAATGCTCAATTATATGCTAAAGTTTTGTTTTAAAATACATTATATAGATACTTTTAACCGTTATCTATAAAAAAGTGGTAATGATCATTGAAAGTTCGTATGTCTATACCCTATGTGTAGCCTAAACCGGTTGAAGGGGTGGTTGAGATGTTTAAATTATACTAGACTCTTCGCCGAGTGGACGAAATTCAACAATATAAAATATACATTATTATATAGAATTTACCTATCTACATAAAAAAGGTGTTTCCAAATTATATAATAGCTTTATCATGTACTAAATCAAAAAAAGAAATCAGAAATAGGTACTAAGGTAACTGTTTTATCTTTGCCTATTTATAAATAGATATGAATGGTGAATTTAGAATCACTTAAATAATATTAATGACATGGTACATAAATAAGTAAATATTGCATCTAAGAGTGAAGTTAATTAATATATTTCTAAAAATAAGCTTTTCTATGAAACTAGCAACTCACCCCTCGCTTCGCTCGGGTTCGTCCTTAGATTGATTCCCCATGCAAGCTTTCATCCCCACTTTGACCCCTTTGAGGGATGATTTCCGGGATAAAAACTATTTCATGTCCTTCCCAGGATCTCAAACTATCTTCTTACCAAATTTCATCTAAATCGGTTCAGTACTTTCGAAGCCTATTCGGTATAAACAAACATACGAAAAATCTATTTTTTCCTCTTTATAATATTAATATAGATAAGTTGTGTAATAAATGATTTTGATTTAATTTAAAGTTTATTTTTTTATTTTTTAGATATTTCTTCGTATTCTTCTCAGCAGACCCTTTTATTTGATATCCATATCATGGGGCTGCATAAAAAAACATAGTCCGCGATCATTGGGAGTCCGCCATGTTGGATTTAGAATGACGTCACTTATCGAACCATGCATTGTCATCCAAACTAAACATGTATGGAAAATTTTAACTCAATCGGTTGAGGATAACTGCTTTAAAATTCAGTTATAAGATTTGACCCGAAAAATTTCAATTCATACAAACATTGCAAGTTAAATAAATGCTTGTAAAAAGAGACAAGCAATCTTCTTCTTCTTCTTCTCGTGTCGATGAAAAATGTTAAATGAGAAAAAAATAAAACACTTGGGTTTTTTTAACGAATGTATATATTATTTGTCAGTGTAGTTGAGCCAATAGGACATAAATATTATGCAGATATATTAAAAAATATTAATATAAACACAAAAATAAATATATTATAATTATTTTAATAAGCATTATGCTACTTATCGCACAATACTCGTAGTATCAGAGTTAAACACCCCACAATAACTAAGAACAGAACAACACTTTGTACGCACGAGCTAATTAGAACTAACGATAACTAGACTATTATAATGTCAAGTTAAGAACATCTTACAACAATTTTAAGTCGTACAAAGCATTAAACAAGGCCATAAAGATGTTAACACACAGTTGGTGATCCTTTCGTCCCGCCAGCATTGACAATTACGTTAAATTACTTCATTAGAAGCGACATGTTATTAATATTACACCCTTTATTTTGTCGCTTCATTATAAAATTTTATGAGGATTAAAACAAAGTCCCTATAGTATAGCGACAGTGAAAACGAACGAAAGCTGGCGGGTTTGATTCTCGCTCAGAGTAAATATGTTTTACAAGGAAAGTGTATTTTATTTATTTTTAAATAGTATGTAATACCTACCATGTAATGCGCTCAAAACGTAGATTTGGACATGATATGATGTATAGTCGTTGTTTTGACGGTATGTGTAATACATATGTAGACATACATTTATATAATTTTACATTTTATGTAATACTAACGACTTACACTAGTATCGCTCGGGTATCTTTAGATACCATTGGTAGTTATATATTAAATATTTATAGTACTATATACAGGAATTGCCATCATGTGGCATATTTTATCGCCTATGTGTCACCAGGTCTATGTATTCATCCAATTTTGTCCAGCCATTTCAACGTGAAACAGTTATAAACATACACACAAACTTTTGTATAGTAATGTGATATTTAGAATTAATAAAAGAAACAAATCTCAACATAATAAATGTGATAATATCACGGTTCCACACAATAAAATTCTCAATCAAAATGTTGGTTTAAACAAATATATCTGTGGTGTCGGGGAGAAACGTGATAGGTACAAAAACACATTTTTTTCAGTATGACACTTTTAATATTTGTTTAAATAGAGACAGATAAAGTTATTTTTATATTGTATTTTCTTTACCAAGGTTAGACTAAAATAAAATTTGGAAATTTTTAATGTCATTGTACTATTTAACTAAAATTCGACCAAATTAAAGTTATCACGTTTCTCCCCGACACCACAGATACTCGTATATACATACGGGTCGAATTGAGAACCTCCTCCTTTTTTCCACAGTAAAAAATCTAAAACAAACAAAAAAGCTCTCAAATAAAAAGCAAAAACTGAAAGCTGAAACACTTATACTGTATACAAAACATTTGCATGAAACAAATATTTATTCATAATTTTCATAATTTATAGTGCCATATGACTGTATTCATTCGCTTAATTATCATGATTTACTTTATCACTCTGTTGTTTTGTACGTAACCTTAGAAAAAATAGTG